GTGGAGCTTGGGGGAACATGGTGGCAGGGTACGGGGGTCTGATTTGAGGCAGGTTGTGACAGGTCATCTTCGTTGTGGAGAGTGTAAGGTTGTTATCCAGTTTATAGATGCCTTAAAGAACCACATTGAAGAAAACTTCCTTGAAACCTTTTTGTTTAGTTATTAATTGGTCAGGGACTAGGTTGTCATTTGTTAGTAAAATATATATTCTTTTACCTTTTTAAATTGTAAAATAATGTATTTCTAAAGTCTAGACAAAGGTTGAAATATTCCAGTTATTTTCTAAACTTGCCATGGAAGCTTTCTGGAGAGTTTTAGAAAATTCAATGGAAATTTCTGTCCCTTTGCAACCCTAGTCTTGATATTGATTTTTTTTTTTCACTAAGAAAAAAATGTAAAATAGATTTTATGCATCTTCACCATCAGGATATCTTGTGTTTTAGCTGTGTCTCCTTGATTAATCGAAAGGAAAATCATATTAATTATTAGGAGTGTCTTATCTTTTGGAACCATCAGTCTACAATTGAAATTTACATTTAACTGTTTGCCTTTCAGCAGTTGGCCTTTTGTCTTCTTGCTCCTCTGGAATTTTTCCTGCAGTTAAAGGAGTTCTTCAGGATTTCCTGAAATGAAGAGCTGGAGAAAAAATAAATGACTGGGTCTAAAGCACTATTGAGGTAGGTGAAACCCATACATATCATGAAGAGATAAATCCATGTGTTGTAAGATGCACACTCTTTAGGATGGTATGTCTTTATGTACAACCCAACAAGACCAGTGAAGACACTTGGCATAAAGCAGAAGGTGAACACCATGCTGATGACCGTCACAACTCGAATGGCCCGTCGGACCTTCTCCCTGTTAATTTGCAGTTTGTGGAGGTGGTAGACAATCCTGGCTGAGCAGAAGAGCAACAAGAACCATGGCAGGAAGAACTCCATAACAAAAGCAGCATAGTGCACCAGTAAAGGCAGAGGGATGACATCATATGAATTAAAGCTACGACACAGACTGATATTGGCTCTCTTCTGAAGGAGATCAGTGGTCAACAATGGGATGCGAAGGGTAATCACACAAATCCATATCAGACTTGCGAGCACACCTGCCTGTGTTGGAGTCAGTCGACTGACGTAGTGATGTGGATGAACCACCTTGAAATAACGGTCCAGTGCCACAACAGTCATGAATGCAATGCTGGCAGATCGATTGACAGACAACATGTAGAGGTTAATCTGGCACCAGGTTGGTCCAAATTTCCAGTCATCCCCCCGCCAGTGGGTGTCAATGCGGAAGGGCACGCTGATGAGTAGCAGGAAGTCAGCCAGAACCAGGTTAAAAAGGAAAATGATGTGGGCTTTCCAGATCTTCATGCGACAGCAAAAAATCCACAAGGCCAGTATGCTTCCTGGAAGACCCACAATGGTCTCAGTCATCAAAAAAACTTGTAGGAAAACATTTCCTGCACTGTCGTCAGGAGTCTGGCAAGTTCCGCTTCTATTTAAATCCATTTCAACTGAATGGAGTTGGATCTTCTTTGTATTGTTGAAACTTTTAGAAAAAAGAAAAGAAAAGGGGAAAAAACAATTTTAGAAAAGCAGAAGATTCTGAGAAATACAGTTTTTGGTGTGGCACGTGGTACCCCACTTATCTGTAAAAACATATATTGGATAAATAAACTGATTATTATTACAAAAGGAAATTACATTAAAACAAACTGCACAAAAGGATTAGATATCATGTTTAGCGGAGGTTAGAATCCAAATGCAGAAAAGAACTCAGGATAAAATAAACTAATTTATTTACAAAAATGCTAAAAATGGGATGAATCTCAAAAGAAAACTAGAAAAACTCTGAAATATAACTCATCAGGGTCATGAAAAGAAAACCAACATGAACAGCTTTACAGCATAATTCACCAGTGATGGACAAGACAGAGTGACGGCGTTTTAAAGCGATAAGACTGATGAAAACACCTGAGGAGGACAAGCAGGAACAGGTGAGCATGGGCAGAGCAGGAACAGACAATCAAAGGAAAAAACACTGGGGAAGCTGGAGACACAAGTAAAACACAAGAAATATAACTCAAACACAAAAATGTCTAAATCACATGACACAGAGGAAACAAAAATAAACTCTAAATAACAGAAAACACAGACTATGACACTAGACTTTTTTTAGTTGAACATTTTTCTTAGTTCATATCTTAGCTCTTAGTACTGTTTTTCTTTTACATTTTCTACTTTTCTGGGACCCTGAGTACACAATTTCGTTCCACCACATGTACCACATGTGGTGCGTATGACAAATAAAGAAACTTTGACTTTTGACATGGTGGACGATAGACAAACACAAACAGACATTGTTCAGTGATTGGATGAAGATACAACAGTGATGGGTCTGACCAGAACCAAAACAGGAAAACATTGTTTGTCTTTCAACTGTTCCCTTTTAAGCCACAGTGAGTCCTCCTCCATCTCACTTTGTCCTCTGTGTCCCCTGTCCTCACTCTGTCCTCTGCATCCTCTGTCCTCACTCCAACCACCTCCATGTCCTCTCTAACTGCACCCATATATCTCCTCTTTGTCTTTTTCCTGCAGCTGCATTTCTAACATCATTCTACCAATATGCCCACTGTCCCTCCTCTGGACATGTCCAAACCACTATCCCTCCTCTGAACATGTCCAAACCACTGTCCCTCCTCTGGACATGTCCAAACCATCTCAGTGTGTCCTCTCTAACTTTATCTCCCAGTTGTTCAACCTGTGCTGTACCTCTGATGATCTCATTCCTGATCTTCTCCATCCTTGTCTCTCCTAAGGAGAACCTCAACATCTTCATTTCTGACACTTCCAGTTCTGTCTTCTGTCTTTTTGTCCATGTCTCTGTCTCCAGACCATACAACATAGCTGGTCTCACCACTGTCTTGTAAACTTTTCCTTTGACTTTTACTGACACCTTTTTGTCACAAATCACTCCTGAAACTTTTCTCCATCACTCCATCCTGCCTGGACTCTCTTCTTCTCCTCTTTACCACACTCCCCATGTCCCTGGACAGTGGAACCCAAGTCCTTGAAGTCCTGCACCTTTGTGACCTCTGCTCCTTGTAGCCTCATTGTTCCACCTCCTCCCTCTCATTCACACACATGGACATTGGCTTGAATTTTATATTATAAATTATAATTAATATTATTATTTGAGTAGCACGGTGGCGCAACTGATAGAGCTGCTGCCTCTCAGCGAACAGGTCCCTGGTTCAAACCCCGGTCCAGGTGCCTTCTGGGTGGAGTTTGCATGTTCTCTCTGTGCATGCGTGGGTTTTCTCCGGGTACTCCAGTTTCCTCCCACAGACCAAAAACATGCATGTTAGGCTGATTGGTAACTCTAAAATTGTCCCTAGGTGTGAGTGAGAGAGTGAATGGTTGTTTGTCTCGTTTGTTTCTATGTGTCCCTGTGATGGACTGGAGACCTGTCCAGGGTGTCCCCCGCCCCTCCCACAGTGATTGCTGGACATGGGCACCAGCGACCCCCGTGACCCAAAATGGAATAAACGGGTAAAGATAATGGATGGATGGATGGATTATTATTTGATATTATATTACAGGAAAAGGCCCTTTTGCCTAGTTCAGTCCGCACTGAGGGGACACTACGTGTAATAATGGACTCTCAGGACATTATTACCTGCAGTGTTCCCTCAGTGAGGACTGAACTAGACAAAAGGGCCTTCTCCTACTCCGCTCCTGTTTCCTGGAATATCTTTTAAAAACATCTGAATCTCTTGACCTTGACCTCTCTAAGTGACTTCAAACATCTGATAAGTTCCTGCAAGAACCAACGCGGTCATGTTCCTGTTTTTAGTTTTCTACAACGCATTATAATCTAACTGGGTTTTTTTGCTACTTTTTCCTTTTGACTATCCCTTTGGTTGCCATTTTACTTTAATTTGTAAAAAAATAAAATAAAATTGTATGCCTCATTTATGATTGTCTATTGTTGTCCATTGTTGTCATCACTCTTTGTTAAAGAAACCAGGTCTCTCTTGTAAATGAGTCCCCGAGCCTCAATGGGATTGATCTGTAGAAATGAAGGTTGAATGAATATTAAGGACATCAACAGTTCAGTTTTGTTCAGCCTAAGTTATTTATCAGATTATCCTTCTGTCATAAAGCAATGATTTGTAGAAGGTGAGGATCTTTAATAAGAGTAATAAATAGAAAGCAGAGTAACAGTAAGAAAATATGAGATAAAACCTGAACATGAACACAATGTTAATTAATCAGAAAGAGGAGGCGAACAAACAAGGGAATTAAGGAAAGCAAAACTAGGAACCCAAAACAACTTTAAATGTCATGAGTACAAAAAACAAGATATAAAACAAACTAAAATATCCCACATTTAACTTCCACTCAACGTCTTGGGAAATCTCAGTATGATGGATCAAAAACGCTACCTCCAATTCTGATGGAAGTCCCTTTTTTATCTTTGCTGGGCTCAAGTTATTAACACACTACATAAATTTCTCAGCGGTCATTGTTGCAGCAGTCAAAATCACTATGGTCAATGTCACTGCGGTCAACGTCACTGCGGTCAACGTCACTGCGGTCAACGTCACTGTGGTCAATGTCACTTTAGTCAACGTCACTGCAGTCAGCGTCATCACGGTCAAAGTCACTGCGGTCAATAACACTGCAGTCAACGTCACTGCGGTCAACGTCACTGCGGTCAACGTCACTGCGATCAGTGTCACTTTAGTCAACGTCACTGCGGTCAACGTCACTGCGGTCAATGTCATTGTACTCAACTTCACTGGGGTCAACGTCACTGCGGTCAATGTCACTGTAGTCAACGTCACTGCGGTCAACGTCACTGTGGTCAATGTCACTGTGGTCAACGTCACTGCGGTCAATGTCACTTTAGTCAATGTCACTGCGGTCAGCGTCATCACAGTCAAAGTCACTGCAGTCAATGTCACTGCAGTCAACGTCACTGCGGTCAATGTCACTGCGGTCAACGTCACTGCGGTCACTGCGGTCACTGCGGTCAGCGTCATTACGGTCAAAGTCACTGTGGTCAATGTCACTGTGGTCAACGTCATAACGGTCAACGTCATAAAGGTCAACGTCACTGC